GTAGTCAATATGCCAAACACAGTAACAAGAATTCTCACAATGGAGATGTTACTGGGCACGCTCGAGCAAATCAATGAACAACGGGAGGACAAGACAAAAATTAATAATAGAAATAATAGTAATAAGTCACTGTCAAAAGTAGAAGACACAAGGAAATGGGAATGCGTTCTATGCTCATGAATTGGAAGAATAGTTTTAAAATGATCATCCTACATGAAGCATTATACAACTCAATGCAACTCCTATCAAAATCCCAATGGCGTTCTTTTTTTGTTTGCTTGCATTAGGGTCACACCTGGTGGTACTCAGGAGGTACCTAGACGTTACTCATGGGATCTACTGTGGTACCAGGGACGGAGTCATAGTTAGACTCATATGAGGCAAGTGCCTTATCCCCTATAATATTTCTCCAGCACCCCAATGGCACTCTAAAATATAGAGCAAGTGTTACTGAAATTTGTACTGAGCCAGAAAAACTATAAATAGTAAAGCAATCCTGACAAAAAATAACAAGAGTATTGAGATAATGCACCCTGACTTTATTTTACAAAGCAATTATAATCACAGCAATGTAGTATTAGAATAAAAAGACACAAAAACAATGAAATAGACTTTGAGAGCCCATAAATCAATCCTCATGGGAGGGTTGGTGAGAGAGTACAGTGGGTAATGTGCTTGCCTTGCATGTGGCCACCCGGGTTCTATTCCCATATGGTTCCTAGAGCCAGCCAAGAGTGATTCCTGAGTGCAGAGTCAGAAGTAAACTCAGCATTGCAGGGTGTGCCCCAACCCCAGAATAAATAAATTCGTAAATCATTACCTGTCCTTCACCAACTACAAGACCAAGATGACTGCCCTCCGACATCCTGATGGATCTATCACATCTTCCAGAAGGGCAATGGAGACTATTATTCATGACTTCTACTCAGATCTCTTTAATAGCCACATCCACTTGCCCACATAACAAATTCCGCAGCATGGATATGTCGTTCCCAATGTTCTCCCGTCCGAAATCCAACACGCCATCTCGTCGGTAAAGAAACAAAGAGACCTGACCCAGACCAGGTCAGACCTGAACACCTGAAGAACTTACCGTCAGTACTCATCAATACACTGGCTCGGCACTTAACGTGCTATCTGTCTGAATGCAAGTTTCTGTCCCAATGGCAAACCAGCAGGATTGTACTACTATACAAGAAGGAGACATCCATGACATTGGCAACTATCGCCCAATCTGCCTATTGTCTGTCATCTACAAGCTGTTGACTCGAGTCATCCTGAATAGGATTAGCAGAACACTAGATGAAGGACAACCATGCGAGCAAGTTGAGTTCCGAAAAGGATTCAGTAGCATTGACCATATCCACACGATAACCATGCTCATGGAGGTTTCTCAGGAGTTCAAGTTGCCACTCTGTCTTACGTTCATTGATTTAAAGAAGGCCTTTGATTCTGTTGAGACGGAAGTGATCATCGAAGCCCTAGCTAATCAGGACATTCAAACTCAATACATCAGGATCCACCGTGAGCTCTATTACGGATTCACTACCAGGATCTCACCATCCTACAAAGAAGTAATCATCCATGTCAAGAGAGGGGTTCAGCAGGGTGATACCATTTCACCAAAACTCTTCAGTGCCACCCTCGAGAACATCATGCGACGACTGGAATGACAAGGAATGGGAGTGAAGATAGATGTTTGGCAACTAAACCACCTCCGCTTTGCTGATGACATTGTTCTAATAACACCAAACATGAGCCAAGTGGCACAAATGCTAACTGACTTCGACCATGAGTGTGGAAAGGTCGGATTACAACTGAATCTCACAAAGACAATGTTCATAAGAAACAGTCTTGATCCTTATATTCCATTCACTCTCAACGGAACGACCATCTCCGAATGCAACAGTTATATATAACTAGGTCGAGAAGTCAACATGATGAATGACCTGGCACCTGAGTTATGCAGGAGGAAGAGAGCGGCTTGGAATGCCTTCAAGAGTGTTGAAGAAATAACTAAGAGGACAAAGAACCTCCAGCTAAAAGCACATCTCTTCGATTCCACTGTTCTTCCTGCATTACCATATGCCTCAGAGACCTGGGCCCTACGAAAACAGGATGAGAACGCTATTTGGGTCTCTCAAAGAGGAATCTAAAGAGCTGTGCTTGGAGTATCACGCTTCACTCAAATGAGAGATAGAATCTGGAGTTCCGATCTCCGTCAACGCTCAAGAATCATGGACGCTGTCTCATTTGCCAAGGCATCAAAAATCAGATGGGCTGGACACCCAATGAGGTTTAGAGACGACCGCTGGACTAGAGCCATTACTGACTGGATTCCATGGGACGTCAAAAGATCACGGGGACGTCCACCTACGAAATGGTCAGACTTCTTCATCAAGACCCTGAATGATCGGTTTGATGCTCTTCATGTTCCTAGAATGAGCAAATGCCATTGGGCTCCACTAGCATGCAACAGGGACGAATGGAGATGTTATTGGCACCCATTTGAGCAAATCAATGAGTAACGGGGTATCAAGTGATCAAGTGATCAAGTAAATCATCACATAAACAGATAATTTATGAAAAGAAGTTTAGATCACTGTATTAAATAAGAAATAGTTCAACAAATAGTTCTGTGGGAACTGAATAACTACAGTGGAAAGAATGAAATTAGGTCTCTGTATCTCACTACATACAAAATAAATTAAAGCTGGGTTGTTAATACCCCAAACAAGAAAATATAAAGGAGAATTATAGGCAAAGTATTCCAAAACATTGACTTCAGTGTGGTCTTCAGGATTTGACTCCCAAAGCCTGGCACACAAAAGCAAAAATAAACAAATGGGATTATATTAAATGCATTTAAAAGCTTGAGCACAGTAAAGTAAAACATTGTTCCAACAAAAATAATTCTATTGAATGGGAGAAATATTTGAATATTAGCCATTGACATTAGATGGCAAATATTCAAGCTACACCAGAAACTCACAAAACTCAACAAGAAGAAAACAAACAACCCATCAAATGATAGGGAGACTCCTATCTAGGGGGCTGGAGTGATAGGCCAGCAGGTAGGGTGTTTGCCTTGCATACGGCCGACACAGGCTTAACCTCTGGGACCCCATATGGTTTTCTGATCTTGCCAGCAGAGATCTCTGAACTAAGAGCCAGGAGTAAGCCCAGAGCACTGCTGGCTGTGGCCCAAACACCAAAACTCAATTTTAAAAATGGAGAGAACAGACACATTACCACCAAAGAAGATATACACATGACAAATACATACATGGAAAAAATGCTCATATTCACTTATCAGGGAAATAGAAGTCAGAATACAATATGATATAATTCCACATCTGTGATAATGGCCTATATCAGAATGACAAGAAACAACAAATGTTGATAAGGATGTGAAGAAAAAGGAACCCTGATTCATCTTTGGTGTGAATGTAAACTGATCTAGCCCCTACAAGAAACGGTATAGGAATTTGTCAAAATACTAAAATTAGATCTACCATATTCTCCTGCAATTCCACTCCTAGGTCTCCAAATGACAAACCAAAATGCATTCAAAAGTATACCATCACAAACGTGTTTATGTAATGCTAGTTATAACAGCCAAGACATAGAAACAAGTGCCCAGGATGAATAAAGACATGGTACAAACATATTTACACACAATGGAGTACTAATCTGCTAAAAGAAAAGATAAAATCTTGTATCTGGGTATAATATGAATGGAAATAGTGTGTCATGCTAAATGAAATAAGACAGAAAGAGGAAAGACAATTGCGAGATGATCTTACTCATATGTAATATATAAATAAACAAAGCAAGGGACTAGATAAAGTCCGGTGAAAACAAACCCTTAGACCACAGAACTGAAGGTGGTAGGGAGAGGGCTAAAGGGTGAAGGGATTCACTGGACTGTGGTAGAGGAATACTAGAATGCTACAGTAATAATATATCCCTAAATTGTATAGTCTTACAAACCAATATTACCTCAATTAAAATTAGATACACTTAACAACATATTAGTAATCTCTTGTATAAGGACTTAAGGGCCCCTAGGTAAAATACAACAATCTTCACACACTCTCCTCTAAGGAAAGTTTTTGAAGCATTTTCACTGGTCTATTCAGAACAAACAATACAAAATAAATTATTTCGGTTCTGCTTTGGGACCGGGGTTGAGGTTCAAGATGGAAACATCCAAATATGGTGGTGGGAAGGTGTAATGGTGGTGGGATTTGTTTTTGAATATTAAATGTAAACAAATATTGTGAACTACTTTATAAAATTATAATAAAATTTTTAAAAATTAAAAAGAAAGAAAACATAATCAACAAAAATCAGAAACACAAGAAAATACATGTTTTACTTATATATGCATAATTAATTTATGTTGTTGTGTATTGATTTTTTTCTTTTTGGTTTTGGGGCCACACTCAGCTGTAATTAGGGCTTACTCCTGGCGCTGTGCTCATGGATCACTTCTGGTGGGCTCAAAGGACCAAAGGGCTCAAAGGGCTCAAATGGGGTGCCCAGGATCAAACCCAGGTCAGCCATGTACAAGGCAAATGCTCAATCCACTGTACTATCATTCCATCCCCTATGTGTCGACTCTTATTTGAAAAACTGCATAGAAAACTATAAAATGATGTCAGTATTCTACTTTTACTGATCTAAATCAGTTTGGAAACGTGTTCTTTAGGAGTAACATGGAGTTCAAAATTGGGCTCTATTTTAAAGATTATACTTTGTTTAAACCATAGCAATCATTTAAACCACATCATACAAATACCAACTTGAAACCTACTGGTTCTCTTCTTTAGGTTTCATGCCAAGAGCTAAGGGTGTAGAAGGTTTAGAGCTGATCAGGAAGCTTCTACCATTAACGAGCTTCAATGACGGGCTCTGAGATAGAGTGGCAACTGCAATGCCAAGGTGGTAAGGCATAGTCCCAGAAGTAAAGTGTTCCTTCATATCTGTATACTTACTCTACTGCTGCCTGAGGTCACACTGCGTGTGCTTGGGGCTGGCGATCTCTTAATGACTGAAGCTATTGCACTGCTCCAGAAGCTCTTTGCAGCCCCAGGACCAACTTCCTGGTCATTGAGATCTGAAGAACCAGTGCTTCCCCTAAAGGAGAAAAAAATTTTGACTTTAGCATGGAAGCAGGACAGTGGTCAAAGACAGAGAATACTGACAAGAAAATGATGGTAACACATGAAAAATATCAGAGTAACACTTGAACTCTATCTGACTGACTCCTGGGTCTTTGCAATTGAGTTTGTCCTACCTTCCCAATATTTCCTACAGCTCACTAGCATTCTTCAGCAAGTTCAAGTTTCTTACTATATTCTCTGAATTTCCCATGCTTACACTAACGCTACTAAGGCTTTTGTTCAAGTTCTCCCTGCCTGGTACATGCTATTTACTGCTTTCTCTCTACACAAATAAATCTTCATTCAAGGCCACGCTGAATTCCAGTGTCCCTCAATGGATATGTTCTGTCATTAACAGGAGGCTGCAAACTCTGTTCTATTCAATCCCTATTGACTTCCTTTGCAGTCTCTGTACCACTCAATTCCTATTGACTTACAGTCCTTGCCAAACTATGTAGCATTTCACTACATAATGTTTGCTTAGCTCGATAATTGATCTACATATACAGGCTTTGGTGCCTCTTTCAATTTGCAATCTTTGGGGACAGACTCCTGCTGAATTTATCAAAGTATCTCCAACACATCCATAATGCCTTGGTGTAAAGGAGGCACTCAGTACATATTAATCAAAGATAGAAAATGATACTTTATTTCTGTGTATTGTTTTAGTGTCTGGCTCATGGTGTGCATTTAATATATGTGGTATAAAACCGACATTTGGTAAATGGGCTTGACCCACTTTCGTGTTTGCTGAAACTGATTTCATTCCATTCAATAATGACTAACAAAAAAGTTCCTACCATCGAGGTGATTCCAATTTTGTTATTAAATGAAGCTTCATAAGTAAACACATTTTGACAAATTAGAGTTTAAAAGAAGGCTTTATTTGTCTTGTTCCTACCTTCCATAAGCTCAAAATATTCTGTGGTAAAACAGCAATTCTTAAGAATTTAACACTTTTGCAGGGCTGGATCAATTGCACAGCGGATAGGGTATTTGCCTTGCACGGGGCTGACCCGGGTTCGATTCCCAGCATCCCATATGGTCCCCCGAGCACCGCCAGGAGTGACTCCTGAGTATAGAGTCAGGAATAACTCCTGTGCATCGCCAGGTGTGACCCAAAAAGCGAAAAAAAAAAAAGAATTTAACTCTTTTGGATACTATTTTTTTTATAGTGGATACTATTTTGGAGGAAGAGCACACCCAGTAGTATTTTGAGAATAAATATTCCCATCTCTGTGCTCTCCTGCCCCTGCGCCTGGCTGTCCTCACTGGGGCTCCTTGGAGTGGGGCGGGTTGAGTTTTCCTCCCGACCCCGAGCAGAGCCCTGGCAGCTGAAGACCTCCAGAACCAGCCACAACCATGCTGAGACCACTCTCCACACGCATGAAGGTACCGGCAGAGGAACAAAGGCATGCAGGTCCCAGGGCTGAGATCTTCAAGCCTGCTCGGATCAGGGCTGAGCATCGTCCACTCAGATCCTCCATCTTCCAGTAGGCAGGGGTCACACCCACCAACTGTCCTCCCAGCGCCCTGTAATCCCATCAACGGCCAAGACCCAGAGACTATAAAACTCAGCTCCTGGAAGCACTTAGCCGCATTTGCGGCTGTGAGACATCTTATTATCTCATTCTTAGTTTGGACAACCTGGCAGGCTACCGAATGTAACCTGCCCACATGGCAGAGTTTGGCAAACTCCCCGTGGTGTACCCAATATGCCAAATACCAGTAACAATGATGGGTCTCATTCTCCTAACCCTGAAAGAGCCTTGAATATGGCACATTTTAAAATCTCAGGGCTAGGACGAAGGAGACGTTACTGGTGCCTGCTCGAGGCACTCGATAAACAACAGGATGATCGTGATCATGATCTCTGTGCTGAGGGGTCATATTTAGTGGTCCCTGGGGGATACATATGCGGTACCAGAAACTGAATCAGAATTGGCCACCTGCAAAGTGGCCAAAGTCTTAACCCTCGTACAATTCCTCCATCCTCAGTTACTATTTTAACATTATGTTATTTATAATAGTAAGTATCTTAGTTTTGAAAGATAGCAGGAATAGTTAATAGTGATTAGGTCTTCCTGTTCAGCCAGTCCGGAGACACTAAACAATGCCTTATTACTAGCATTATTGCTAGGAGACACATGCAGCAGAAGAATGAATTAACTATGGCCATTGGAGCTACCGAGCACAGCTCATTACACTTTTTTTTAATACAGCATACAAAAGGAGTTACCAAAATATGAGCCAATAGATACTACCAATATCCTATTCCCTCAATTAATATCCACCACGCATCTGCATTTAATGAGGTTTTTCTGGGTGTTAGACCATTTCTATTCTCCCCAAATCCTATAAATAGTATTAACACTTGTATTTAGTTATTTTATGTCACAGAGCTGGAGGCTACCAGGGCTATATGTAGCAATGGCCATAATATTCCAGGGATGGAACTCAGTGTCCTGTGCATGCCACGCATGTGTTCCAGACTTCTGAGCTGTCTTCACAACTGTGTTTAACTTAGTTTTCAATGATTAATAATGTTATGAAATCTCAGGAATATAGTTTATATATGTATATAAGATTCGCCATAACCAGCACCACTGTTCCAGAGACATCCTGCCACCAAAAGGACTTCTCTACCCAATTCCTTTAACCCAACCCCGTTTCCCTCCAGTAACCTCCACAGTTTTCACTTAGTGTAGGTGTTAGTTTTGTTGTTGCTGTTGTTTAGCAGTTTAAAACCATCTGGAAATTATCTTTCACTTCTTTATTTTACCTCAAGTTTCATCCTTGTCATAATTTTATCTTTTTAATGGTAGCCTATTATTCCATTGAACATGTACATGTATAGTTGTATGTATGTACATACACACAACATGACTTCATCTAACCCTTGGTTGATGGACATTACTTTTGACTATTGTACATAGTGTTGATATGAACACAGGGATGTAAATAACATTTAGAATTTGTGTTTTCATATCCTTCAGATAATGCCTAGGAGTGATACTGCTGGATTATATGGATTTCCTTTTTTATGTTTTAAGGAGTCTCCTTATTGGTTTCCATAGAGGCTGCACCAATTTTTAGTTCCACAATGTACTAGCTTATTTTTCTCCATATCCTTGACAATATTTGTCGTTCCCAATCGATCTAATATAAGCCACTCTCACCACTGTAAGATGGTACTTTATTGTGGTTTTGATTTGCATTTTCATGATAACAAGTTGATAACACATTCTCTTTTAAAGATGAAGACACTGAATCTTAGGCTAAATCATTACTTCATAAATGCATGCATGTGTTGGTGTCTGCATGTATGCACACAAGCACAAAGCTTTCACACAATACACTGAAAAGTCAAAATTAAAACCGAGAATTGCCTGCCTAACTAAAGTCTGTGCTAAAGTCTGTGCTTATTCTGCTTTCTCTTAATACTTAGTCATCATTCCACCAAGATCAAACTGTTACATCTGAGCAGGATATACAATGTGAGAACGAATTAACAAGAAGATAGCCAAAGGATCAGAGAGCTGGGAATTTGTCTCTTGAAACTTTTAAGAGAGAACTATGAAAAATTCCAGGGAAACATTCCTTTGATACTACCTAAAACCAGTCTCTGGCTTCTTTCCAGAGAGGGCGCTCCATAACTTAAACTATGATGGATGCCTCAGAAGGGATCCATAAGTGTGTCTTTTGATTCTGACAAGAAGAAAAGAAAATGTTATGACTGAATAGTTTCAGCCCATTGAAAATGATGTTTCCTGATGCATTTCTTCAGTGCTCCTGCTTTATTTCTACATTTGACAAGGGTTTAACCAAATTCATCTTTCTAAGTGATTCCATTCATCTCCTAAGTACTACTTCTCAGGTTATAGCAACCTACCCATGATGTTGCACTACCCTGTGACTACCAGAGTTTCTAAATTCAGAGAAATTATGCCACAAATATCTTTCACTACTTTCCTAAAGGCAAAATATCATTTTAAAAGTAAGGCTTATAGTGAACTTTGCAGAAATGAGCCAATATAATATGAAGAGACAAGTCAATATTTCTTGATTTTATGCTAAAGGACCTCCCAAACCCTAGTTGTTTCGAAAAAGTCTTTTTGATGGATTAGCCTTGCTTGAACCAAAAGTCCTAATTATAGAAAATCCCAACAAAGTTTCATTAGTTGTGATGGTGACGTTGTTCAAGAGCCTATTTTATAATAAGAAAAACATGTTTTGTGATTGTAAGTCAGTGGCAGGAAGTTACTATAGTCAGAAGCATTCTCTCAAGAATGATACATACATTTCACATTTGGCCTTGACATTTACTGTGAGCTTCGTGAAAAATATTTTCCTCACAGTTGGCTGTTTCAGTTGATTAGACTAAAAATTACTGAGCCTGAGAAGACTGTCATAAACATTTGAGTGTTGACTCTTAGATGCTCTAGCAAATAGGACATAAAGTCCACTTAAATAAGAGGATAAAATTTCCTCAAGTTTAAATCAGGAAATTTTGATGGTAAATTAAGACAGAGCTATTTTTTATTCAAATATTATGTTTTTAATATTTAAATTAGAAGGATTAGAAATAAGTGCCAATAAACCATGAGCTAAAATTTACTTTAAGTGAAAATTGACAAGAAAGAAACACATTTGTCTCTTCCCAACAGGTACCCAAATGTGGGATTATGACCCGGTCCAGGTAGCTTGAATATATTGGATTACTTGAAAGACAAATTTTCTATGATAGGAAGACTCTCATTTACTTTAGGTTATGAAACCTTTCAAAGCATTCTGAGTTTGTTACCTTTAATTCCTCGCTGGGCCCCAAACTTCATAATGGCTCCTTGCATATAGCCACTTCTAGAGGGACATTTAGACTGGGTGATTTCAGGCATTCTTCCACCTATATTTTCCCTTCATCCACTATTTTCTTTATTTCCTCACATTAAGAGAGCTAAGCTGTGCTCATGGTTC